AATATTCTATTATTTACAATAAAATTTATAATTGCAAATGTCTTATGATTGTTAGAGAAACGAAGGAGGTGTGACTGTGTAAAAGACAAAATAAGAGTTTTAAAGTCAAATTATACAGCATAAAGGTGACAATTATATATTTAACTTACGATAAATTACAATAATCTGTAGCTAACAAATTTGTGTTTTATGCGACTAGCCGCACTCGCAACTCTACGAGCATAAATTGTGTGTGCAAAACTTTTTGAAGTAATCGCGATGGTTTTATGCCCCTATTATATAAGCCTGGCTTTCCAGGCGATTAGCGATAATAAAAGGACAATATTGCCCAATATCAATATATCAAAAATAGTACATGAGAGCTCCAAGAAGATACATAAACAAGTATTTAAAAAAGTTGGAGTACTATTGCAACAACATATTCTTGAAACCAAATCAAGTTAAAAAGTCCTGCACTACTTTTCTCTCAGACAAACAATTATCGAGATATCGTAAGCTAAATATTAAAAAAGTTACCATCAAGTTTTCCTTGAATATTTCACAAAGTATTAGACAAATAAAAAATGTTACAGAAAAAAGTTGTCTAAATTAAAATTCGAAGTATAGGCTCCAATGAAAATACACGAATATAGAAAACGGGCTAACTATAAACCAAGCGCGGTAAATGATGCGCGAAAGTTTTTATTTTTATTTTACATATTTTCCAACCTTGACTGCGCGCCGACTAAATTTGTCAGATTTGAAACACAGCTCTGGTTGGAGTAGTAAAATCGTCCCTTTCCCTTAATTAAATCGATTCGATTTAATTTTTTACGCTATATGCATCTAAATAAATGTAAAGAAATCATTGCAAAAAATATTACCTTAGGGGTTCGAACCTGGAACCCCCTTCATTCCGTGAAGGTGTCGTACCAATTCGACCACTGTGGCATGTGGTAAAATTTATCGCAATAACCTATTATTAGTTGTAATATTACGCGTACTTTCAGACAGCATGATTTAAAATTCGAAATATAGGCTCCAATGGGAATCCAATGGAACCCTGGCTGAGGTAATATTTTTCGCAATGGATTTTTTTATATTTATTTAGATGCATATAGCATCAAAAATTAAATCGAATCGATTTAATTAAGGGAAAAGGGGAATTTTACTACTCCAACCGGAGCTGTGTTTCAAGTCTGACAAATTTAGTCGGCGCGCAGTCAAGGTTAGAAAATATGTAAAATAAAAAAAACTTTCGCGCATCATTTATCGCGCTTGGTTCTTAATTAGCCCGTTTTCTATATTCGTGTATTTGTTTAAATTAATTAGAAAAAGGTAATACAATAAAAAATGGGAGTATTTATTTAAAAAATTTAACTTGGGCCCAACACAGGCTCTGGACCCAAAATCTAATAATAATAAGATCATCTATTGGCCCCCTTTAAACCCTCCAACTTTCATCTCAAACATTTTTCCAATAAATCAACACTTTCTAAGATATAATTGGCCGTTCCAGAACTTTTGGTGCGCACGGTATATGCGTACGCGACACAATTAAATTATGTATATAACGCACAAGCGAGATAACTAATCAGCGTCAAAGAATGTAAGCGTATAAATGTGGTTGCACTGACAATGAGTGCACTGAATTTGAGGGACAAACTGGCTTTGTGTGAGTGTATAAACGCGTGTCCGTGTGACTGTAATCTGAACTTTTTGCTAAGAATACTGAGATCTCGAGAAAAATTCACATTTTTAACATGTAAAATTTCGAAATCTCAGTATTGACTGCACCAATCTTAATCAGACTGGTCGAAATCGAAAGCTCGTATCAACGTTATATAATAGAAAACTGTGTCGTCAGATTTTCGATTGCAGTTTTCTTTCTTGAGATATTTGATTCGAAAAATTGATTGGCCCAAAAAAATCCGAATAAGCTTGGCTGCATTCTGTTAGTCGTCTGCTAGATCTTTTTTTATGTATAATACTTGGTGTCGCGACGCTACCGCGTCGCTTAATTGTTAATTGCAATATTTATGTAATTAATACATTTCTTATATTTATATTAATTTTACTTCTTTACATTAACATTACATGTCATTACATGTGACACAACAGTTGCACGCAAAGTCTGTTAATACTTCTACGACTTACGCTTGTTTATTATTTACTGTCAGAAAAGAGCTTTTATACATCAAAAATATTTTATTAAATGTTTTTAATATTTACCATAAGCTTCATTTATTTTACAATTTAGTATAACAAAATTTATTATTAATTACAATATCAATGCAATTAATAGATACATCATTTTCGATATTTACGTTATATTCACTTCTTTACGTTAACATCATATACAGCACTTAAAGTTAATACTTTTTAATACGACTTACGCTTGTTTACTCTTGCGTAAGTTAGATGCGGTGTATATATAATTACAATAAAAACTAATCAATAGCTTCATTACAAAGAATATACTTAACAATATTATAAAAAAATTAAGGAACAAAAATGCGAAGACATCAATCAGATTTTGTTCTACCCAGCTCTGAGACCTCAGCGGCGTTGCTAAAGTTCCATTTGGATGGCGGGCTGTGTATTCAATACTCCAAACAGCTAAATCTAATGGCGGTATTGGCCGATCTCGGAATTCGCTGGATAATCGTTTCATGTTTTTCGTATAACTGTACCAAAAAATGTTTACTGTTAATATTTAAGAATTAAAAAACGCATCTTAATTAAAGGAAAAGTCGAAATATGACAGAACACGTAAACAGTACAAAAAGCTAAACTTTATATAATTTATTATTTTATAAGCAACACTATTTACAGGAATTAGTAAATCGATTATACTGTATTAAGCATTAGAGTTCAGATATTATTTGAAATGTAACTAATATTGCTAATTTACTGCTTAAATAATAAGTGTTAAAACATGATCGAAATATAATACCTTTCATTGTAAAGTACTTCTTCAACTGCGTCTAATATGGACTGCGTGGACAAAGTTTTAATTTCCAAGTATATTCCAACGCCTTTAGTTACTAATATTCTTGCATTAGATTTTTGATCCATGAAGAAAGGCATTACGATCATTGGTACACCTTTCCAAATGGCTTCCTGCGTACTCAGAAGACCACCGTGCGTCCAGATTGCTCTTACATTTTTATGAGCTAAACATAAAAAAATGTATAATAAATACATTATAATATATTATTATAACTAGATTTTTCGCCCGCGCTTCGCGCGGGCTCAAAATCTATTCCCTTCTCCCCAAACTCATTCATTAATTAGGAGCACCAATAGAACCCCATAAAACCCAATTTTCAATCCCATAGTAGCCATCTCCATAAAATTAGTAATATTGTGGTACCAATTTCATCAAAATCATCAACAAAAAATTAGAAAAATTTGGCACCGGTTTCAAGAGAATCGATCCATTAATAAAAAATTAAACTTATCGTCCAAAAATTAAAAAAAATGGTGGCACTGGTTTCAAAAAAATCGGTCAATTAATACTTATTATTTCTCAAAATTTTAATAATTTCCAAACCGGTTTCTAAAAATCGGTAACAAAAAATTATCCATAAAAATTATCCATTAAACAATTCAGTTGATATCTCAAAGTTTGCGGAAATTGGAGCAATCACGTATATTTTTTTTTAACAGAAATCGTAAACCACTTTACTATTAGCAATTTTTTCTAATTCTATTACATTCTTTAGTTCTTTCTACCCCTATCTATATATATATATAAGTATTTGACGTCTGTATGTCTGTCTGTCTGACCGCGAATTACTTGTTATTTTCCGAGAAATTGGAAAAATTTCGTAACTGGTTTTAAAAAACCGGTCTTAATCGCTCGCGACAGTCACGAATTAAAGTGACTGGTTAATTCCCGAAATTTGAAAAATTTCTGATACCGGCTTCCAAAAAGATCGGTAACAAAAAATTATACACTTTATAGCACTCCCCGGAAAATTCTACCCCTGTTTCATATATAACTCTTTGAAATTCGGACAATTATTTCCCGAGAAATTAGAAAAACCGTTTTCCAGAAAATCGGTAACAAATCCTACATATAACATATTTCATTTAAAACTAATCGACCTATAAACGATTTAATTCCTGAAAATTATAAAAAAAATTTATTTTTTTTGCCTTTGCAGCTTTTTCCATTTCATAATTTAGTGCTGCTCTTAGCAATAGATCATCCTGACCGTCTTCTAATGTACATTTTTTAAAAAATTACGTATATTGTTTTAAACAAAAATTGGAAACGTTTCAAGAAAATCAGTACATTAATGAAAAATTAAACTCGCGGTTTAAAAAAAATCAGCATATACAATTCTTTGAGATTCGGTCAATTATTTCCAGAAAAATTGGCAAAATTTTGGAACCGGTTTCCAAAAAGATCGGTAACGAAAAATTATACACTTTATGGCAATCCCCGGGAAATTGTACCCCTACTTCATATACAATTCTTTGCGATTCGGTCAATTAATTCCCGAAAAATTGGAAAAATTTTGTAACCGGTTTCCAAAAAGATCGGTAACGAAAAATTGTACACTTTATGGCACTCTCTGGGACATTCTACTCTTACTTCATATACAATTCTTTGAGATTTGGTCAATTAATTCTCATAAAATTTGAAAAAATTTCGGAATCGGTTTCCAAAAAGATCGGTAATGAAAAATTAACCACGACATTTTCATCCCCGGGAAATTCTACCCCTATTTCATATACTTTTGGTAAAAATTTGGTCCACTAACGAATGAGTAGTTCGCGTACAGACAGACAGAAGACGGTACTTATATATATTCCTCTTCTAAAAAGGAGATGTGAAGTTTATTGTTGCCGCTTTTCTGCGATGCCGATTGGTTCTCTTGCTGCGCTTACTTCATTTGCAGCTGT